AAGAATCTTAATGCACTGAGCATTGTAAAATACAACATCGGAATCACTTTGCTTTCCGGGATAATTCATCAGGAATGTAATAAATGTCAGAGGAACAGGCCCAGTCTTACTATAAAACATGCTTCTAACAAACAGCAGATACTTGACCACAGCCTGTGATAATTGTACTTGGGTTTTTTTAAATAATTTTCAGTTAATGGTTCACTGATGATATGAGTTATGCCCACTGTGCCCTAAAAATGTGCAGTAATAAAGAGAAAAATAATCTGCAGGATGAACAGAACAGAACACAATGTTTTGATGAACATACACTTTTTTTTTTTTTTTTGTTATTCCTGGGTTTTCCCACCAGATGTCCACTTTTCCCTCTGAGTTCGACATAGCCAGACTCTCTTTGAGTTATCTGGTTTCGTTAAGCCCATCAGTGTAATCCTAACACACCATCTGGATATTCAGATCTTGTGAAAAATATTGTTATTTCAGAAATTATGATTGAGTTGGAGTAAAAGATACACACATTATGACAGTAGCAGGAGAAATTGGTAGCATTACTGAAGCAGTAATGTGTGGCTAAATGTGTCAATAAAAGGTGTGAAAGCTCAATTTATTATGCACTTATATCACAATTAGATACTTTTTGAGGATTTCCGTGGAGATTCTTAAAATATATCTACAACAAAACAAAACAAGGCTGGTTCAGACTCGAGTAACACCATCAGGTTGTTGCCGGGGTATTCTTCATTTTGTCTTCAGAGGATAATGTAAGCAGATGGTCCCCTATCAAGGTGAGCTGAATAATCTCATTAGTACTAGAACAACAAAAACTTCCTTTACAGTGCAGCTGAAATGATTAATGACATACAGTTGTGGTCATCACAATGTCAGTTTTCGCTGTTCTGCTGACTCTCTTGTCCTGCTGGCTTGTCTTGTTTATTTATATTTTCCTTCTTACGTATCCTGCTTGACATTTTGTCCTTAATCTTGACTGTACAGTGTTTGACAGATCCGAGCTTTGTTGTTCCATGTATGCTTTTTGTCCTCTGCGTTCTGTTTTTCTACTCTTCTGTGCATCCTGTAGTCAGTGTTGCTGTGTACCTTTATGTTTCCTGACTAGTGCTGTTATAATTGTTAACACACGTTGTTTTAATGTACTTTCCAACAGACAGCTGAAAAGATTGAGGTCTTAGGTAATCCATTTTCATTTTTATTGTTTATAATCACTATTGTCCTAAAAACAAGCTAAGAAAAATTCAAATAAATTATATAACACATATGGGATATGGCAAAACAAAATAATTTTCTTGGCAGTCTATCATTGTTTTTTTACACTATTTGTAAATTATCATGGGATAAAAGTACTTAAAAATAAGAGCAGCTCTACATCCATCTACCAAGAGACCAAATACATTTCAAATATACTCAGTATTGCACCAATTCCGTTTAAATGTTCTGCTCACATGGGTGTTGTGTGCAGTAATTTTTATTGATTGAACAATCAATAAATGATCAAGCAGGCTATTTTTAGGATTTCCCTGTAGTCACTTAAATGTAATAGTTTTCTGATCCTCAGATGTGATTGTTGCCTTGATAAATATTGTGGATAGTGGTATTTTTCTACGGATTAATTGCGTAAATTAATGCAAATGTGCGCAAATGAATCTGGGCAAATTTCAACTTTGGAAATATCAAATTTAGACACCATTCTGTGTTTCAAAAATAGATTTCAATATTTGTCGGAGAAAGGTTGTGGGACAGTGAATGGAGACCTGACAAGCCTACATTTTGACATTGTGATGCTCACATTGACTCCTAGGGCGTAAATATTATTCTCCAGCATGCTTTTGAACTAACCCATCCAGTCGCCTCAGGCACAGCATTCATCTGTTTGCGAATGAGTTGACACTCTCCTTGAGAGAAAAATTGCCCTTGTGAGTATGAATGACTTGTCTGTACTCACCTGTAAAACTTCAACACACCCCATGTGTTGCTTCTGTTCCCCTCAACATTGAAATCACTTCTATATACAATGCTGGTTTGTTATTTTGCTTTTGAGTTTGGGTTATCTCTCGCCTCTTCAATGATATATGTTCTCCTGCATTGTGAGTATTGAATGTAAGCTAAACAATGGCAGCTGTAGCACCAACCCCTTGCTCTTGATTGGATTGCAATTGGATTTAAAGGCCAAGGAGAAGAGATGGGTTTTCAACCAAGATTTGAAAAATGTCAACAGAGGGAGCAGACCTACTGCATGTGGAGGGATAAACTGTTCCATAGCATCATATGGCTACTGTGGCTCTACAACCGCGTAGAGTCATATCGTAGAGACGGTTATCTCTCCAGAGCATTTCAATAAACACACTATAAATCTACAGTCACAGACATTTGAGAGCTGTATGCATAAAACAAAATCCATAAAGGAGTTTCAGCTGTGATTATAGGAAGCGTCTTAGAAAATGTAGTAATAAGGTTTACTGTGGATCTGATCAAAATGATGCTCAGCACCTGTTTTAATGACTCAGGATACACAGGTAACCATACTACATATTTACACAATTTACATATATAAGTGTAGTTAAGTGAAAGCCCTCTTGTACATACATGATAATGATAATGATTTTGATAAATTAAGCAAATGTGATCATTTTTTGTCAAGTGAACTTGCTTGTCAATTTAACTGATTTGTTTCATCTCACCTCTATGAGAGGGATATTTTTAAGAGGACTGTTAATGATAGTCCCCCCCTTATACTTTTTCTATTACTTTATTGGCTCACAATCATGACCATGGAAATCAAATAAAGCAGCTTTAATAGCCTAGAGTTATTGAGTGAGAAATGCAAGATCAACCACATTCCTGCAAAGAACTATTCTGTACTTTATTAGGCTTCTAACTAGCCTATTCAGCATTTAAGGAACTTTTGCATTGCCTTCTCTTCATTCATTAATTTTCTCCAGCCTCATAAAAGTCCTATTCCCTGCTCTTAACAGCTTGCTATCTTTGTAAATACCTTATCTTTAGTAGAATTTAATCTTGATTTAAAAAGTAATTTCCTAGAAAACGTAAAAACTCTGAGAATGTAAGAATTCCCCTATAAGACCAGCTGGCCCTGGGAAGGATGATGCCTTAACAGGGAGATATTGCGCTTTTTGTGAGACGCTGAAGTGTGGTCCATCAGTGAAACAGGAAAAAAAAAAAGGGAGTTTTTGATGACTTGTCAAAGACAGGCAGAGCATAGTTGGAAGGCATAAATCCCCCGCTCCTTTTCATGTATGATGCGTGTGCCCTTGGTTACCTAGTAACTCTCTTCTCCATCTCCAATCGGACGCTCCCGAATATGCAGCCGGGACCGCGCTGCGCGCTCCCGGGAAGCTCGTGTTGAGCCGAAGAGTCAAGGCAAAAGCATCAAAACGCACCAGGACTAGGAGCAGAGCTTCCCTCTGGAAAAAAAAAAAAAAACAACAACACGGGAGAAATTCATTAAAATGACAGCGGAGTGAGGATAATGAGAGCCGTTATCGCTTCACAGGAAGGTCATTAACGAGAAAACAGAAGCAGTGCGCAGACTATACGGATATTTGGAGTACATGCATACCCGACTGCAAGTGAAGACCCCGAAACAGTGAAACATTGTCCCGGCTTTTTTATTTCCAGCAAAGCAAGGCATGGGGGGATTTACGTCTCGACAAGGCAGGTGAGTCATTTCATGATACTTGATGAGCTGCCGGGGGGGGAAATCTTGAGGCAGTCTAAGCGGGGAGTGAATTGGGGGTGGGATGCGGGGGGAAATGGGCACATCGGGCTACTTGGACTCAAATTATACGACTTATCTGTCTGTTTTATTCTGTAAATATAAAGAGTGGTATTTAGGGACGCTACATCGACGCAGTAAACCGGCACGAAGCACGTATACTTCCAAAACGCATTTGGATTTTGTGAGTCCCGAGTCTCTTTAGAGGCAGGGATTTTGATGCTGGATATAACTGTGCGCGTGTTTTGCCCACAGTGGCATATGTAACATGTTACAACACATCTGCACTACAAACGCCAGCGCAGAAAAGAAATGCTGGTGGTGATTGTTCAGGGCACTTGTTACTTGGGTATAAAAATACTGTGTGCGTGATGGAGCAGTGACGCGCCGGCTCTCTCTCATTCTGCTCTCCGTATAACAAAAAATGGAAATATCCCGGTGACTTGCTTTAGGCAAATGAAATTGCAAGCTCTGAAGTTGAATGGAAATAAAACGAAGAATTACTTAATGAAAACGCCAATGACATCAGATCAAATATTTTTTTTCTAATGCGAGTGTGGTCTGCCACCAGTTTGTAGCCAGCTATATACCTCCATCTGTTGAGGTGAGGGTCAGGATAATCTGCCACATGCGTGGGGATACCCATTTTCCTCTCCTTTTTCTTAAGTTTTGCGCATGATTTGATTGGAAGTTTTTTAGGATAAATACATAGCTTGCTCTGCTCTGAATGCTTAATTGTAACGCATGAGGTTCAATGAGAGCTTGACTGGGAAATTAAGGATGTTGTTTTCTGCCACTTAGAGTGACACCGAGAGTGAACTTAAATTGATATATTTGATTAATGTGGTGCATACATGTATTATTTTCATTCTTTTTTTTCATGTTTTTGATGTAGCAGCCTATAAATCTTCATCTTTTCATTCTATGATCTAATTTTATGACTGTGCTAAATTTACCTAGTAAACATCCTCACTTTTCAATCTTTATAATTCCTCCGGAAGCTATAAACTACGCACAAATTGCTTGAGGAAGAGGACAGTGTAATGCTAAATTTAAACCACTGTAATGATCATGCAGGCCTCATGCCTCTACTTTCTTACAATCTGGAATTCCTGGACACATGGCAGAAGCGCAGAGATAAATAGCCGCATTGTAGTCTATGGTAGAAAGAATAATTAACTGTGAGAGTTGAATACCAAAAAAAAGGGGGGATAAGGGAGTGAAAATGTCAAGCAAGAGTTGTCATGGTGATTGGTTGAATAAGCAATGTGTCCCTGTCTGAAACGTAAGCTTTTAGGAAATGATCCAGCCTTTTATTTGGCATGCATACCACACTACTGATGAAAGAAGCCCTTAATGGGTAATAATAACACAGACACATAGAATCCCTAGTTTTTGTTGAGCGCATTTTAAAACCACCCTATAAAATTTGATTAGGACCCTTTGGATTTTGATTTGATTTGCAGGGAAATTGTGTTCATTTATATTATATGTGTGTCTTCAATATCATGTGAAGGATTATTCATCCTGCTGCTGCTGCTGCTTGTGAATTCTCTCTCTGGCCCTTCACTGTTTGTATTCTAGTCCAGCAAAGTGCTATTTTTCAAGCCTCCCTGCTGTTTTAATATCCATTCTTCACTCCTTTTCTTAAGCTTTATGTTTCAGTTGTTGGAGAAAAATGACCAAGAATGCTGAATGTGTTCATTCACTAGACATGCAAGGCTGGAAAGGTTGGGGCCAACTTGTAATCACTCCCAAGCACACATTTGATGCAGCATTTCAAAGTGCAGCATTGAGTCTGTTGTTTACCCTGTAAGTCTCAGGACTGCTCAAGAAAAGCTCCATGCGGCTCCCTGTCTGCTGCAAAGGTCAGCATGGCTTCGTCCTGACCTAAAGTGAATACACCTGAGTATGTCTTGGCCTGACTTAACATGGATGAGCCACTCATTGGTCTCTGGCCCAAGAGGCCTTGTGTTCTTTAGCCTTCAGTTTCTCTTTCAGCATGCTCTCGTTATTGCTCTCACATCCAGACGCGTGGCCGGAGGTGTGAGAGCGCGCATGCTCCTCTGTGTATATGCAGAGGTGTGTTGTTGCACATATGAGAGAGGCTGTGGAAGGTTATTTGTGTTTTCTAATATTCTTCATTGTGTTTGACGTGTTGTCTTGAAGCAGCAGGAGCAGGAGCTGAATAATTTCCCAAATGGATACCTCTGACCTTCTGAAAAATATGTCCTATCACTGCCTATCTCACACCCGAGAAAAAATTGTCATTGTTCTAGCACTGTTTTCACAACTTTGCAATGTCATATGCACAAAAAGAAAAAGGCAGTTGTGGAGAATTTGGATTTAATGCAGATTAGTTTTTGCACCATGTTACCAATTAAACAAGAGGATTGTATTGGCTTGATATGGCTGATACTCATGAAGACACAGTTTAGAAATGTCTTGCCAAATGGACATATAGTTTACAGACTTCATTTTAACTGTCACCTCTTCTGTTGGTGCAAAGGGTTCATTTGGAGAGATCATTTAGTCTTTATGTTATTACCACTTAAAATGTAAATGATTCAAAGTCATTCAGGTTTTCACACAACAGTGTGTAGTGCAGAGAAAACATATAATTAATTAATTAATAATTAAAACACTAGTCAAACTGTGTATCATGACGTGACAACTGAGCTCTTTCATAATCTGGCTATCCACAGACATAGATATACAGTGACTAATGAAGGAGGATAAACTTGTCTCTTCATATTTGCTCAGGAGGATGCGCTTTCATATTCATTAAATCACACCTTTTGTGACAGAATTGAATAAAAATACCAAGATTGTTTTTAAGTATTGCTCGAAACAAGTTGCAAATTACAAGATACACTTGTGTCATATTCGTTTTAATAATGAATAAGACGTATTTGTTAAATCTGTAAAAAGATGAAAGCGTCTTTGTTTGACTAACAAAATAGTTTTGGCCTGAGGCTCAAAAATACGCCTCAAGACTACTGCACATAACATATTTAACAGAGATTTTACATTGTTCATGGCCCAAAAACATCTCCCTTGACTAACAGGTTTCCCTGCCAAAGACCAATGTCTGCTTAGTAAACAAGATTCTTTTGGACATCGCCATTCTAACTACAAAGCAGATGTCACACAGTATGTCGCCACTCACTGTCTGCCAGAAGTTATCTATTTATTATTTATTTATTAATTAGACAATTTACATTCAATAATACAGAGAGCGGATGAAGCCTACTGAGTTAAAATCAGGGATGTGACCAAATATGCGGCAGCAGCGAGGAGCTATTTTTGATTGCTTTCCTTTTTTTAAAGGAGACTTTTTAAAAATGCATCACAGGGAGAGGTGGGGGTGGGAGACTGTCATGATAGGGAGAGAGGCTCTCGGATGCAAAGCTGTACTTTAGACATACATAGGCTTTGATTGGGATGATGATGTTAATTTAATTCTTGTGGAACATGCAAACAACATAAATGACCTTTTTAAGTCATACAGGAATACAGGAATCAGTATCCAGTATGTGGAAGTTTGTGTGTCACAGTTATTTGCAGCCTATGACTATGAATAATGATTTGTTTTCCACTAGCACATGCAGTATGATGTGACAAACAACTAGCTCTCCAATTTATGTATAGATTTCTGTGGTCCTGCACTTTTCTGTCCTCTAAAAGTCCACATCTGTAGCTTGCCAACTCATTTGAATTTTAAAATGCCTGTCAAAAAAATATCGAAGTTAAGTGCGAAATGAACAAAGGAACAGTCAGTCTGTCCTTACTTTGTGGCTGACAGGGGTGAAGCCCTGGCTGTTTGTTTTTTGAGAAGTTCACCTTAATCCGTATGATTCAAATTTCATTTTATTCCACTTAATCCACCCTGAAAATATACAGACAGGTGACAGCAAATCAACGCTTTTAAATCCAGGGGATGAACGTTACTGTCCAGGTAAAGTTGATGTGGCAGTGTGCCTTTCCCCTGTCAATTCCCCAGCTTCTTATCCAACTACGCAATCACTAAGCCCCTTTCTCTCCTCATTTTCTTAACATGGAGTGAGTATTGTGTCGGTCTGGCAGGACACAGAAGCAAGGGCCCCGTCTAATTCATGGGGTAAATTGGTGGAGATAAGGCCTGAGTCAGTACCTCCAGCCTACCATAGATCCCCTGGGGCAGGCTCTTAAGGAGCTTAGTAAAAGCCTGTCGTATGAAGACATGACATGGAGCTGGCTAAATGGGCTACGTTGGAGTGTCTTCCATCAACCTAATATTCATATACTTTATGGGTTACTGTCGTTCAAGCTTTAATCCCATTCAATTTATTCATTCTTGGTTATTAATTCAGAGTTTTAGGAAAATATGGCACTATGTGTAAGAAAGGTGAAAGAGGGTATATTAGTGGGGCTCTAATGCAGCTGCAAACCAAAGTGGCAAAACACTTAGGCCCACTCATAAGACCATGTTGTGTAAGAGTCTGTGCCACCTAATCAATAATGGATGCTGGTTTACCCGTAGTAAAAGAACAAGGAAGAACTCCTCCAAAGTCACTGGGTCACATACACTGGGGAAACAATTAGAGGTTTCCTCACGCTTCACAGTGCCGCAGCTTTTTTTTTTTCAGCCATGCACATTTCCCTTAATTTTTCTCCAGGGTCCAGCAGCATGTCTGTACCGCTGTTGAGAAATTACAGACACCAGCCGCAAAGTCTTTTCCAGCCAGATCCACAAAAGGCCATGTCGGGTCCTTGTGATATATGTGGGGGCATGCGAAGTGGAAATTGTGGTGACTGATAGGACACCAGTCTAGCGAGTGTGTGTTAACCTCATAATGCTGACAGATTACAGATTTAAATATTTTAAATCTCACAGAGCACATGCTGCTGGTGATGAAGAGAGTGGAAATGACTGCAGTAATGCAAGAGATTAATTGAGATCC